ACGCACAGTTCATCTTCATGCAGCTCGCTGAAGCTGACCTCCTCTTTGCCTAGGAGATACCACCAACAGATGTTACAAGTCCTGGTCATCCAGTATTCTCCACTGAAGCTTCAGATGGTGTGAATGAATAGATTCATTACTTCAGTGCATCTACAAGCATTCATATCACCAGAAAATCTTGCTCTCTACTTTCACCTGAGTTTATTAATAATAGAGTAGCTTTAATCTACTCTGTGCTTGTTTGGTTTTTTTTATATGAGATATGACCTTCACAGTCCTGGCAAGTCATGAATGTAGCAGTTAACTAACCAAAGCCCTGGTGTCTTTGTTCTCTATCTTTCCCTTTTCATGCCTTGTCTTCTTCCTTTCTTTTCTTTCTTTCCATTGCAAATTGTCCATCTGCCATGATTCCCTACTCGAAGCTTTTCAATGGACTGCCTCTAAACATTACCAGCCGTCACAAACCAAGAGCAGACTCAAAACACCAGTGGCTGGTCTTAAAGGACGAGCAATACTAACAAAATAATTCACACGTAAAAACACTTATGTCTTTTTCTAAACCAAATTAGAGACATCGCAACACTACCGACTTGGTATTCTTATACCCATTTTACAGAAGAGTAAAGTGATGCAGAGAAAGGATACAGACACTTAACTGCTATCCCGAAATGGATTTAAGCATGTGTTTGCTTAGTTCATTAATGCAGGTTCAAACTCCCTGTCAGGCCACCATCTGCCAGAAGTAAGCTATCTCCTCATCTGGATGTAGAAAGTTCCTGAATGTTTAGCTACTCAGTAGCCAAACAGCTGTCAATAGGCAGATATTCCATTCACCATTACAGGTATTGTATCACATTCTTCAAAAATATTTTGTCTCTGCTCACCAGGATAGTTCAGTCACTGCTTGTAGTAGGTTTGAGACTGAATACAAAGGCCTAAAAGCTAGAAAAAGAGACTAGCAATTCACAGCATGCACTGTCTGAATTTTGCTCTCCTTACAGTCACTTCTCAGGAAAAAATAAATAAATAAAAATCCTCAATCTGTTTGTTGTTTCAGTTCATTTTAGGGTGACATAAACAGCTTTCAGCTCTTTACATTCTGCACAAGCCTCCAGAAATATTCAGTGTTTACTAGAGCTCGGTGGTGTTAAATCAAGTATGACTATCACCCTTTAAGGCCTAAATGATGGAGCGATATCCATACCAATAACACATTCTGACAGTGTTGAAACCTGCTTACATAGAAGCAGTTTACTCACTCCTATAAACCTGTAGAAAAGGGCATTAAAACTTAGTAGGAATCCTAGGAATTACATTTTATTTTCAAAAGTTGGTGTTTTCATTCATCGTATCCTGCCTCTTGATGAACTCTGTGGTGTATTCTACAGTGTATCTCATAAAAGACAAATAGCTGGACGGAGAACTTGATTAAACCGCTCTCTGACATCATTTTGGCTGTGTAACTGGAAATGGCTGTGTAACTGAAAACAGATAGGAAATTATACTAGCTAACTCCGAAGTGAGAACAATCCCGAAATAAACTCAGCAACTGGTGAGAGCCAAGAACAGCTTATTAGTTCTTTTTGATCGCCTAAAAACTTTCACAGAATGCAAACATGACCAAAACTTTGTGAAAGCAGGGTATTTTTCTTCTGCTAATGGGTTTTAAGAGCAGAGCATATGTTGTAGCACCTGCAGTTGTTAATTTTTTTTTTCCTTGGGTCAGTTAAAAAAAAATAGAAAAAAAGCAACATTGCACCTGGGGAGTAGAAAAAATGTTGTGTCACAGGTGAAAAAAACAGTTTCCATTTACTTGATCAGCCCTCGCTTCTTTGTTTAGTACTCAGCTTGACAAGTGAGCAACAACCCCCTACCACCCTCTAACAAAAGCCAAATGCCGTAGATTAGAGGAAATGTGAGACTTGACCAAATCCCAGCGCTTCGCCTCCCACGGGAGCCTTCCAGTTTTTCATGCTCCCGTCCCAACAGGCCTTTAATGATGTGTTTTCGCAGGCAGCGACAAGCCGCGGGGGTTGCCCGACGGGGGGGAGGCCGGAGCT